CGCCAAGGGTTTCGTCAGACGAAACCATGACGAAACCATTTCGTCATCACGAAAATTATTTCGTCAGGCATCATTAACCCCAAGTAGTCTAATAACCGGTTAAGTAACTCATAACACCCTAGTACGGTGCAGGAAATCTAAAAACCTTTCTCACTTTATATAGAACAAAAAAGCGACTAGCACATTGGAGATAAGCTAAATTCAGTAGCGGCTTATTTAAGTTTTAACCGTATGCATAAAATAGCTCCTATTAAATACATATTATTCTTGGTGTATTATTTCCCATCACACAAATGAAATTGATAATTTAAGAAATTGATTTTCAATGAGTGCATCGTCGTAACATGGAGATTGAGGTTTTTAATTTCCTGCACCATACGAACCCTCAAGTGACCTGCGACGATCTAATACGAATAAGGGAATAAATAAAACGACGATACAGCCCAAACAGAGAATAACACGACTTTTAATCGTTACGACACATATTCATTGTTAGTTCGCCAAAAACGAACCTGGCTTGTACGACTATCAACCAGTTTATGCTTGCGGCGCTGTGCTAAATTCGGTTTGGAATCATAAAAGTTCTCCAAGTCGCAACAATATGCAAATGAAAACTCCGCTAACTCCGTGATTCATATGGAATGACCAAATTTACACCTTCAAAAGAAATGTTGGATACGTAAATCCGTGAATCAAATTGTAAGAAAATGTTCTGCAAGAAAATGCAGCGTGTATTTTGTTAATGATTGAATTTTTGTATATAAAGCAACGGTTTTCGTTGAAAATTTAATCTCGGATTACCATCATTCAAACAATTCTCTTTTAAAATAGCTTAAAAACAAGCTTACTGGGCTAGAATCTCCAAGTTATTTAATCCAATATACTTGTATAAAATGTGATTTGTGTTGTGAAGTAAACGCTCATTTAATGTCCAAAAGCATAGACATAATTTAAAACATTCATCCGTGCACAGATTTTATGCTGAGTTTGCCGTCTAATTTATTTTTTTTTAAAAAAGAACCAATAATAATAATTAATTAAATGACGGATTTTCCGCAGTTCGCACATAGGTTATTAGAACCTATACCCCAATATGTCTTAGGTTGCTTACCCGCTATAGCAATAGCAGGTGCATCACCGATGAATACCTTTATAGAAAAGTTAATATGGATGTTACGATGTCTTGGTTGTCCATTTATGGGAGTTTTTTATTCTGTTAACATAGGAGGCAAAGAAGAATCTCGTTGCCTATACTGGCTTCCAGTAGAATACTTTATTACAGACGAAGATAAAGAACCAAAATACAGACCTGTTGGATTATATTATATGAAACCTAGAGAAAATCAAGATATAAAGGTGCATGTAAATAGATGTACAGCGAAAGCGTCAGTTCTAGAAAGACTTTCATCTGTAATATCTATGTATTATATTTCGGTCGGCATATTAGCAGGAATATCTAGGACGACCGGATCGCACACTTGTGAAGATTGGCCGTATATACCATTATTATTGACTTGGACAATTCCAGCACTCATAAGAAGAATAGCTTCTGGAAACTTGGTAGTCAAGGATCCTAAAGTAGAATTTAAAGGTTTAACAATAAGGATAGTTAAAGACCCGGATATTAGAAGACGTAAACATGTTACCGTTACATTGTTTGCTTTTATCTCAATAGTTCTTCCTTGGCTTACATTACTTTTAGCCTACTTCACACCCCCGATTGGATACGCTTGTCGAAGCATGTATGTCACGACAATCTGTGCCATATGGTCATTTAATAGCATTTTAGCTTATTTATGGCACTTGAAAGGAGAAAAAGACCTAACTGATCCTTCAATATTACATGGTTGGTTTTCTATTTGGGGATTCATAGTAGGACTTCTATTGGTTGTTCTTGGTTTATTTAATAAGAATCCGGAATGGTGGGTGGGTCTGTTCGGATGTTCTTGTGATGAATCAAGCATAGGATGTACATTTGGCCCAAAATGTCAATAAGCTCATTTACGTTTTATTTTATCTTGGCAATTATGTCAATAAGCTCATTGACTTTTTATTTTATCTTGGCAATTATATCGGATACTGTGTCATTTTATTTATATTATATTATCTTTATATATGCTATATACTGATTTTTAAATTCTATAAATTAGAAGATATATTTTATAAATAGATCATTTCACTATTATTGTAATTTCATAAATAAATTGATCTTTAAAGATTTGATTAGCTAAAAAAATAAAAAAAAAGAATCATGATAACATTTAAATCAAAAACCATTGACTAACTGCTATTTTAATGGAATTATTTATTATCAAACATTAGCAGTGATGGGAATGCTTGTAAAATACATAATATTGAAGATTGTTATCTTAATGAACTGAAATTGAAAATGATGACATAAGGCATTCGTTT